TTTAATTGATATGAAAGATTGGAATTATCTAACTTTTAATCTAAAGAGAGATATTTTTTTCAAAAACAGAAATATATATATTCGTGGTCGAAAAAAACTCGATATATGGACGATATATTTACCTGACGATATCTTTTGGATGTGAATTTTGATGAATTCTATCTTAGATTGTCGTAATTTTTCATTTAAATATTCATTCAGATCTGTTGCGTGCACGAAAAGTGACTGTAGAAAGACATAGCTCGCTAGCTGTAATATAACGAATATTAAAATCGAGAGCCTCCAATCTCTATCTTTCGATGGTGATTCTTTTGCATTTTACACTGGAAAAAATAACGGTACTTACGAATAGAAAGAGGAGTTTCATGGTTTTGTGATTTCGATCGCGTTGCCGTCGCCGTACCGAATCCGTCCACGGCAAGGGCTATGCGAACATTGAGAAGTTTTCGAAAACAGTCTGCATGATATTCAGGTGACCTTGATACTTGACACGTATGAGAAGCGAATATGAATATAGCAAACGTAAATACGTCCAATGTATAGACATAGATGAATCAATATTATGAAGCATACGAAAGTATTTCTGTTTTAAATTTATAATATGTATCTTGAAAGCAAGATAGAAGATAATACAGATATATATGGAACCATATATCTTGCTGGAAATAAATGTGAATTAATGAAGATAATACGAAATAAATAAGAATTCTTTGGAAAATATATGAAAATGTATATTTTGAAAGAGATATGAAGGATCTCTAGAAAATATTTCTTGCATAAAATTTAAATTACAATTGAACAATGGAAAGAATTATGACAGATGTAATTTGACAGACGAATTTGAGGATATGAAATAAAGTACATATCTATGTTCCTACAGATACATTTTTATGTATCTTCAAAAGAAAATAAAAATTACAGATAGGTAGATTTCATCTTTAATCTGTTCTTGCAACATGATTTTCTGGACTTTGTAGTAAATCCTGAATTTATAATTTTCATGGAATTTTCATGGGTTTTTCTTCGTTCATTTTAATTTAAAGGAAAATAGATAATATGATATTATTTTAGTTGTTATAATTACTTATCATCAAAAACAATGTAATTGAAATAGATATGTAAAACAAAATCATACTTTTTAAAACTATGAAACATCAGTAAAAAAGAAAGAATTGAACATAATCTATGTATGTATACAATCTTTAAATATAATTGCATATAGGGTTTTATAGATTCGTTTTTTTTTTATTTATTTCCTTTTACAATTTTTGTGCTTGGAATAATGCAATATATTCTTAATTGAAACTCAATATTATGATAAATCACGAATGTGGATAATGAGCTAAAAATCATACGACGCGAAATAACTCGTATAGAACACAAGAATTTCTTTAAATTCTCTGCATTCAAACACGTTCAAATTCGCTTTCAAACAGAACAAGCAAGATAGATTACCTGCGTTCTTAACTCTCGTTTTAACATTTAATTATCATAAAAAATGAAAAATATGTATAAAAATATATATTCGATGATAAAAAACATTCTCAAGAGAAATATCATAAAATTATTTTCGAGGAATAAATCATAATTCAAATTCCCGCGCTTGCGCAGACTAGGGAGAAAGACGTCGCGTAGTGTCGTGACGCGCCTCGAACGGTACTGTACGTGCGCCAAGTGGGATGGCGCGTGCGCATTGGCCTAACGGCGAATGGTGACGCGCGCTCCGATTGGTGGAGCGATCGGCGCGAGGAGGTGCGCCTCGAACGACGAATCACGGGCGCGGTCCCGATCGCGACGACCGATCGGTCGAACGTCGACTTAACTTGGATCTGCTTGGGCCACTGTGTCACTCGCGTGCGCCGCCGTGTCCCGTCGCCAACGCGGTAAACGGAACGATCGGTTTATTTTTCGGACGGTGATCCGTCCTTGTCTTTTCCCCGTCATCGTCCGCGCGAGTCACTCCGTTTTCATTCCGCTTCGTTTAGGACGAAGCACCGGAGTTTCCATTTGCCATCGCGGGTGCTCGTCGACGCCGACGCGCCGGGAACGCGACGCCGCGAGAACGCGGCCGCGCAGTTGCGTGCGCGAGCGAGAATACACGCGTGCGCTCGCGCTCGCGCGTATGCTCGTGTGTATATATGAGTGAGTGCGTGCGCGCAGTGTGTGAGCCAAGATTCCGTGTATGCGAGCGCGACCGCGTGCGGGCGGTTCCCACACGACGTCGTCCGTGCAACAAGTGTCAGGAGGAGGCGGCGGCGGCGGCGGCGACGACGACGACAGTGTTAGTGGCGGTCGCATGAACTGTGCGGTGCTGTGGAATACACTGTGCATGGTAGCCGCGCTACTGTGGATCGGACTGTGGGACTGAATCGATCGGCGGATCGACCGTCGTTATTGTTATCGTCGATCGTCATCATCATTATTATTACCGTCACCATAACGTGCTGAGAGGATCGTCACCGGCGAGGGCGCGGGTATGGGCTGCGCCGTGAGCACCACCGGCGAGAAGGAGGCCGCCGAGCGGTCCAAGAAGATCGACAAGGACCTCCGCGCTGATGGCGAGCGCGCCGCCAGCGAGGTCAAGCTCCTGCTGCTCGGTAAATGTTTCTTGTAATAATAATGATAATAATAATCCGGTACTCCAGGTACTCCGAATCTCCTCCTCCTCCTCCTCCTCCTCCCTCCCTTCCTCCGCATGTAACGTTCCCGTGCTGATCTACACGAGGAATAGAGGAATAGAGGATCGAGGACGGGCGTTCGGGCGCGCTTCCGTCGATTCGTGCCTTGAGTGTCCCGAGCTTCGCGGTTCCGGTTCTTGGGAGACGACGGCGAATTTAC